GCCACCTGCTGACCGGTCGCTGCCCCGGGAGGGGAGGGGACGGGGCACTTCCGGAGGAAGCCTTGCAAATGAGACCGGCGCGGCCGCTGCCCACCGCCCCCGCCGCCCCTCGCCGCCCCAGAGGGTGGGCGTCAGAAGGCTGGCTCACCTCAATTGGCGGCCGCTTCTGTCTGTCAGCCTGAGGGTGGTGTGGGGTGGAAGCGGGGGCCCCGGGCCGGAGGGACCTCCTTTGCCCCCCTTTGACCCTGCCCCACCGATCACCACCTCCCCCGCGCTCTTCATGTCCGGGGACGAACGGAAAAGAGGTTGGAGGAAGAGGGGGGGGGGTGACGAGGCGGGAGTAGCACTGTCGTCCTCTCGCGGCGCGGCGGCGGCGCTTTCAATCTGACTTGCCGCCGTCACTCCAGCAGCAGCCAGCGGCGACGAGCAGCACGGCTGATGGACAACTCTGCGCGACATGCTCTCTGTCTCCCTCGCTCTCGCTTAGCTCTCGCTGCGACGTGACGTGATCGGGTGACTCGCTCGCTCCCGGTGCCGCCCCTCCCTCCGTCCCCCGTCTGGCCGCTGCGCCGCGCCACTCCACGTCGGGCCAGGCGCGCCCTCTATTGACCAGGGGTTGCCAAGTTTCACAGCATCCAGAGAGAGAGAGGGAGGGACGGGGGAGACGGGCGGGGGAAGGGGGGTGGGCGAGCGGGGGTGAAATCAGAGGGAATGCGCCGGCGGGTCCGCAGGGACCGAGGGCTGGCTGGACCGGAGGGTGGACGCGGCGCGCAGGGGCGGAGGGCGGCGGAGGGGCCTGAATGCGACACCAGCCAGCGGGACTTGGCGGTGCGAGGCTGGCTGGCTACCCCATCAGTCCCCCGCGAGGGCGCTCCTCGCCCCGTTCCCTGCTGCGTTACTTTTATTTATTGCTCCATTAAAATGGGCGCCTAGTGAATGGAAAGTAGTATACTACACTTTTGGCGACTCTGAATATGCGTTCACGCCTTTCGGTTGATGTGCGTCACTTGTGGGTGCTTTTTCGTGTGCGTGCGGTGCGGGCGCGGGCTGGCGCGTGGCTGCATGGGCGCGGCCGGGGCGGGGCGGGGCGCGCTGCACACCGGGTGCGCCCACCGCGACCGCGCCTCTATTGTCTGGCCATGCAGATGAGCGACGGGTAGCGGCGAGGGGCGGGCGACTTTGACGCGTCCTGAACGCTTTCCTAGGCAAGGCGAGCTGCGGGGAGGAGGGGGAGGACGAAGCTCCGCGGGACGGGACGGGACGGGAAGACAATCGAATGCAGGCCGCGGTGCGATCCGAACGTGGCGGGCGGGCGGGTGACAATTGGTCGAGTGGGTGAGCACGCCCGCCCCGCCGGCTGCCCGCACGTCACTCTGCGGCTGACGCTGACGGCCGACATCCTGCCGTGTGTTTAGGCCCGACGAGTCATATGTGTGTGTGTGTAGCGTATATTGTATTCGTGCGTTTGCACGACGCGTGGCACGTGTGATAAAGACGTGTCGAGGAAAATACTACAAAATAAATCAATCTTCAACCCCTCCGACCTGTTTGCGCGGCCTTTTCCTTTTGGCGCCTCTCCGCGTCGTCGTCCCCAATACGTACGTTCGCGAGTGCGTGCGCGCGGGGGAGAGGCCTCCAACGGCAGCCTTCTTCACCTGTATGAGGCGCGATTGCCAGAATCAGGAGGGCCTCCCCGCCCTCCCGGCCACGTACGGGGGAGCGGCGCGCATGCCAAAAGGGGCCCAGGGCGCGCCGCTGCCTCTTCTGCTGCCTCCCCTGTGTCTGCCTCCGCATGCGCCTCACCATGCTCCGGCCTGGGTCGGGCCCACCGGCTGGGGGCTGGCTCTATTTGCTCTTTCTGTAGATTCATTAGGGCGTTGTTTTCTCCCCCTCGCTCCGCTCCGGGCCATGACATGCGCTGCACGTTGGGGGCGGCGGCGCGGCGGCGGGTTCAGTTTCACCTCATGGCCGCACCCGACCCCTAGACTAGACAGAGACCCGGCGGCCTGACCCGCGGCACTGCTGCGCGGCGCCCATGAGGAGGAGCTCGCCTCTGGCCTGCCTGGGGCCGTGAGGCGCCATGAGGGGTCGCGGGGGGACAATGACTCAGGGCCGCGCCACGCCGCCACATGCCATTCCGGGCGCCATGAGGGGAGAGGGGCTCATGGGTGTGCCATGCCTCCCTCCTCCCCTCCCCCTCCCGCCCTGTGCTATGCCTTTTGTCTCTCCCGCTCTTCATTTTTCTCCCTTAGCGCGCGGCCCCGGTCCCGGCTGGCCGCGCCCGCACCCCTTCCCTCCCCTCCCCTCCCCTCCTCTCCCGGCGAGGATTAGAGAGCCGGAGGGATGTCCTGCCGGCCCGGCGGTGGCGGCGGGTGGATGAATGACAATCACGATTCGCTTGCGGGTGTCTGTCTGGCGCGCTCTGCGCAGCGGCGCGTGGTCAACTGCGGGCATGGCCTGGGCGCCTCGCTCGTACTTGGTCAACTGCGGGCAAAGCCCCTTTTGACAGCTGGTTCCGGGAAGCCCAGGGCGCCCGGAGTGCCGACTGCGGGCACGGGAGTGCTGGGTTGCCTACCCCGCCGGCGCTCTCTGCCGCTCCCCGCACTCAGCCTGCCGGAGTTCCGACGGACACTGAGTGCACTCGCGTCATTAGCGACACTACTTAATACGTTCCTTGCGGCATGACCACTATGTGGTCACGCTCCCTATGTAAAATCATACGCACTAAAAATGAGCAGCACGGAATGTGTTAATTCCTGAAGTCAGGGGTCGTGGTCCTATGACAGCGTTGCGCGGAGCGATAGCGAAGCATTAACCATTACTGATTTTATGTGTTGTTAGTGTGGTTTGCTTCTTATTATTTCAAATAGACACTTCGATGCACAGATAATAGTCTAATATTATCATTATTAATTAACTGTATTTAGTTAGGTTTGTTAGTTTTGGTTTGCTTCTTTTTATTTTCAAAGAAACACTCAGTTGCATACACTGGTAAAGTAAGTGTGCAGAATTTGCACACCAACGTGTGCAAGTTATAACCTTGCACATTACGTTAGGACTCGCTAGTCGCGGCGCAAGTATGACCGAGAGCGGCGGAGAGCGCCGGCGGGGTAGGCAACCCAGCACTCCCGTGCCCGCAGTCGGCACTCTGGGCAAGCCTGCGGGCGGGGCTCGGCCTCCCGGAACCCTCGTCAAAAGAGGCTTTGCCCGCAGTTGACCAAGTACGAGCGAGGGGCCCAGGCCATGCCCGCAGTTGACACAACGCCCTGCGCAGCGCGGCCGGGTACAATCCCTCTCCCGCATAATGGAAGCAAATATGCAGACAAATGGCTGTCGTCAGTGCGCGGTAATGAAGTGCACGACGGAGGCCACATGTGCAGGTCCTGGTGCGGGTCGGGGTTGGGGAGGACGGCGCCCCTGCACACGGCTGCACTCTCCCGCCGCCGCCGCCGCGCCTCGCGCCCATACCTATACGCACGACAGCCTCGCACACCCCCGCGCCCACCTGCCTCACGGCGTTTGCACACCCGTAGCAGAGGCACGCCCGCGCCGCGGACGGGACGAGAAATATCGATTCCCGTCACGATCGCAGGTTCGAATCTCCGACCGGCTCGGAAATTGGATTTGTTTCCCCCCGCCCGCCTGCCTGCCTGCCTCCAGCCATGCTCCTGCCCGGCGCGGACGCACGTCATGTCCCCGGCCCCCGCGGGGAAGTGGCCCCCGGCGGACTGACTGGGGCGGCCGGCCAACTCGCAGCCCGCTGGTGCGTCGCGGTGCGTCCGTCCGCCCGTCCGCCCGTCACTTTGCCCGTGACACTTGTCACACGGCAGGTTTGACACGTCCTGGAGGGGCCGTCGTCGTGCCCTGCCCGCGCCGCTGTGCGTCGGGCCCTGCCCTGCTCGACCCACACCCGCCCTCACCCGAGCCGGCGGCGCGGCGGGAAGTGCGCAGTTTGCGACCCCACCCGGGGCGCGGCGGGGCGGGGCGGACTGGGACACCCGAGGGACGCCCCGCGGCGACGGCGGCCACCTCGCGGCCACCTCCACCCGCATGCGAGCTTCCCCGCTGCGCGTGGTCACCGAGTGTGAGAAACTCGACAGCCGCGTCCTGCCGCGGTCTAATCGCTCGGCCGAAGGGGTTGGTGCCGGCCTGCTGGCCGTAATGAAATCAGCAGTGCCCTGCCCCGCCTTGCCCCGCCTTGCCCCGCCTTGCCCCGCCTTGCCCCGCCTCGCCCCGCCT